CTGCTGTGGTCTCACATTCCCCACAAAATATGCTATGAAATCTGCATGCATTTTTACACATTGAGTTATTATTTAGTTCTAATTATTAGACAGAAAGAATGGTTTTAGCTGAATCATGGAGCCACCAAAACAAGATTTGTTAGAACTGAAGGGCAGCCTTTAACGTACGGTAGCAAAATTTTACAACATGGCTGATAGAGCTGCTCTCTCCTTGCTGACAGACTTAGCATCCGTACAACTGTGTTCCTCCTTAAAAGTCATCTAGTAAAACTGCTGCTAATTTTATAACAGAAAAATCATTCTTACTTATCAAATAAATAACTTAAGAGCTTATGACACAGAAACAACAATTTTGCTCCCCCCAGGATCCCAGTGGGGCTGTGGGCTCCTGGAATTGTAAGGACCAGAATTTGTTCACTGCAGAAGACACACATACACTCTTGTATCAAAAACAGGCAATAGGCAAAACCATGTTTAAGAATGACAGTTTCTCAGTGAGCTGGGCAACTCCACCCAGGGAATGTCAAGCCTTTTAATTTTTAAAGCTTCCCTTCCTCTTTTACCAAAACTGCTTGGGGACACACATAAATGCATGACAGAAACATGACTGCTTCTCCTGAAAACATCTTGCTAAGCAAATTCTTCCATGTAAATATTTAGAAAATTTCCCCTTGGAGTCTTGGTCTGATAATATCTTCTTGTGTATCATCTCAAGTAAACTGAATTCCCTGCATGGGAGCACAAAAGGTGCACAGGCATCGAGGTGCTCCAGTAATGGTGACACTGGGGTTACCTGACATGATAAAACATAAAGGCACCAGCCAGTAACGCTGGGGGGAAAAGTGTCAGACAGATGTGACGAGAGTGAGAGCCCACAGCATGGAAGATTTAGATGATACTAAAAGCAGATAACGGGGCAGACAGCATGAGGACAGAGTGGGCTAAGGCTGAGGAAACACAGGAAGATGGTTCCTCCCTTGGAAGTCCCAGCAGCAACTGGTCTCACAACCAGTACACGTGTGGAAGACAATGAGTGGCGCAGATAGCTACAGACACCAAAGAAGAGAGACTATGGGTGAAGAGGAACCTCCTTCTACATAGTAACTGGTATTACAAAGGCCTAGCCTCTGGCAGGGGATTGTCTCATGACATAAATGCAAACAGAGGTGATGGTAACAGTGGAAAATGGGGGTGGAGGTGAAGTGATTGCCAGTGAGTATTAATAATTTCAAGTTCTTACTGCCTAGGGATCTGAATACTTTTAGCTAAAGGCATTGCTTATATTTGAGAAGTAAAATAACCTTCATCACACTTATGGTTTTTTTCTGTTAATTAATTCCTTCATGAGATTAATGACTGCCCTTTTACTTGCCACAATATAAATCAACACCTGGTAACAGGTATTATGCATGGGTAGAAGTAATTGCAAATAAAAGGAAAATGTTCTTGCCAGAAAATTTGAAATGATATACTGACAGTGACAAATGAGAAACACTGCTGAGACTGATCCACAATCCTACAAGAATGACTGAGAGTGCAAAAAGTCAAACAAACTTCATCAACATAAGTGATGAATAAATCCGGAGAGTGAAATTTACTACCTAAAAAAATGCAGCAGTACCTTAAATGCAATTATATAAATATACATAAATGCTCCTGTTTTAGGAACACATGCTGAAACATGAGAAACCCCAGCTCCTGAAGGCCTGGGCCCATCAGGAGAAATCATTTGACATAACAATAGCTACAAAATAAATGCAGGTTAAAAGTGTACATCTTTGATGAAGACACGCTAGGTACACACAAGCAACAGACCTTTCCCTGCACAGAACAATACAGCTGTCGCACGACTCCCTTAAGACGACTCCCACGGCATATGCCCACTGCTTGCCCCCGCAGGCAACCTTCTCACCTTAGTTTGCTGTTACTTTTTAACACATTTTGCTCTTACGTATTTTTGTTTCTGTTGCTAAGCTCAGCTTTCAGTACAGCGCTTTGATTATTCTAAGTATCTCTAGCTAATTTTGTACTACATTTAGCTTCGCTATTTTCTTTGTTTCATTGTTTTTTGAACATACTAGCAATTAAACATGAGTTGCCCATTGTAGACTGCAGAGCTGATAACTCCTGCAGTGCCCGTGCTGGGTAGGAGGGGCAGGGGGGAGCGAAGGAGAGAGGGAGAGAGGCTACCGAAGACATTTCAAACATCCTTGGTTTGCTAACTTCCTTCATGTAACTGATTAAAACACAGTTAACGTCTTAGCCTTGATCAGTGTGAATGGCTTTAAAAACTGTTATAAGCCTTTCAGACAGCTATAATGACTCTCTTCCTTTTGTCAAAAGTAATACTATTTGCTGCCAGTGGTAACACATTTTCCAGGCTTAACAAAAACAGAAACAACCTTGCAGGTTGGTAGAAAACCTTGCAGGTTTGGTAGAAAACCCTCTCCTACATGGACAGCCGTTACGAATGAGGAATTTTTGAAAGGTATGTTCAGGAATAGCCTGCCTTTCTTTTTAAAAAGTTCACTGGAATACAGGAAATATTTGTTGCAGAAACAAAAAAGAAAACAAAAAGCTGAGATTTCTCTGTAAATTATGCAGATGCTTCCATGATCCAGTAGTGGATCCAGTAGTGGCTGTTTTTCATGTGAGTGCATTCAAAAATGCTGAGGCAGCGAAAGAGAGGCAAAAATATTGCCAGTTACAATTCTGTCAAAAAATGTGACTATATAGCTCCTTACACCAGTGCCACATCAGCTGCAAAGATGAAAATTATAAACATGTCTTGCTTTGTCATATACTTACGCTTGTGAAACTGATTGTAAAGTTCCTTTCTCCCTGCACCTTCTTGTGCTGTTAGTGTGGAAAAGCTGGATAGGATGTAAGGATTATTTTTATTTTAGAGTTTAAATTGTGGCACCTGGATCATTCCTGTAACAGACTGTAAGCATTAACCCTTTCCTGCAGTGCCATTCCCTCCCAGAAGGCTGGTGCTGGCATCCACGTGCCTTATTCAGTATCCCTGGGGAGGGAGCAGAAACTGCCAGGCAAAATGAAGGACAGTCCGGCTCCTTGCTGTGCTATGGTCCCTCTGCTCTCAGTGCGTTCCCTGGGTTTAATTCAGCTCCCCGCCAGTGGCAGGGGGGTTGTTGGACAGCACACCCCAGTGCCTCTTTTTCACATCCTCAGTTTGTTTTCAAACAGCTTTATTCCTTCCTTCTGAGACCAGCTTTCAAAAGAACTGCAAGTAACACTGTTCTAAATCAATATTAAAGTACCATAACAACAAAACTAGCAGTTAGCTTGTACTGAAAACAATATCATTGTACTTGTAAGAGGCAAAGACTCAGTTCAGTTACAAAGCAGTTAAATCCATCCATACCTGGAGGATCTTATCGCCAGGCTGGAGCAGGCTGGATGCTGGTCCGTCAGGCTGAACCCTAGTAACAAAGATACCCTATAAGTCAGAAGTAACAGAGGTTAGGATGCTATTACCGAGAACTAGTTCCCAAAATACAGGTGTCTCCCTAACTGGTGTCTCGGGGTTTTATATACTCTGGCAATGATCTAAATACTAAACTCTTTTTTTAATCTGTTTGTAATCAAACAGTAGTACGGGTTTGTAGCAGCTCTCTGTGACCTTCGGCTTGTTATCACCCGATACAAATATAATTGCGGGTCATTTGAAACTAAGATGCCACGTCACAAAATAATGTCCAATTTGAATAGGGCAAGAGTAACAGGGTTACCAGGAGAATAAGTAAAATGGAGCAAGCATTAATTTATTAGAATAATGTGTACCATAATGTATACAGTAATCTTTGTTTACTTCTTCCAGGAAAAAAAAAAGTTTAAAACAATTTCTAAAAAGCAGTCTTGATATTCAGCCCTTAAGATATTCAGTACAATGGTCTGTAGAACTGTCACTTAATCCAGTGTCTGAGGAGCGAATGACTTTGAAAGGGGAAAAATTATTAAGTAACAAAGGATATTTTTAAATTTGTTATCAGAATTTCAGTAAAATATGTTCATAAAATCCAAAACCAAAGATTGAGTTCCTAGATGATGAACACATTTCAAATATTTCCCATACAGCTCATGCAGTCCTGTACTGCTGTACCCTTAGTCTCACTTTTTCCCTGCTGTGCTCACCCTGCTGCCGAGGGTGAATACCTTTAAACAGACTCTAGAACTGGGCATAGACTAAATTTTAGCCATTTACATTGCTCCCAGAGACACCAGAGAAACTCCCTGCTTGGTATCGTCATGCAAATCATGTGCGTCCTTTAGGGATTTTATAGCCTTCTGGAGCAAGGCACTGTCCAGTATTTCTGTTAACCTTATAAAAACCTCAGCTCCTTGAGAGCAGAGTGATGGGCTGCTTCTATTTCATCCACGTGCCATTAACTTGTGACACAAGCCTGCCATTCAAAATGACTGATTGCTTCTGTGCTTTCTACCGCTTTTCCTGTCCTTTCCTCTCACCACAGTACCGTCAGCGTGTCAGGACAAGGGTATATCACTATGCAGAAGAGTGCTCACTGCCATCCCCACTGATTTCATCTTATAGACAGAATGGTACCATATGCGTGACTTAAAACCATCACAAATGACTGGCATGTATGATGAGAGACAATATCACCCCTCTTATCACTTCTGTGATATTTAAAACATGATAAATCTGATTTAACAGTGTGGGAAGCAATGTTTCAGAGTAACAAGACATAAAAAAACTTTGAACTATTAATTCCTTCAATATAACCACCCTATCACTCCCTTAGTACATAATTTTGCATTTCTCTTATTGGTAAAATTAAGTCTATCTACAGCTGTTATTGCACTGCATGTCTAACTGGTGCAGACACATTCACAGTGGGATATAGACTCTTCTTTAATAATTTCAGGCAAGTGATAGACAGTGGAAGTATAGCTTAATTCTAACATCATCAAACTGTGGAAAAAAAGACCATGATGTTATAAAGTGTAATCCCAGTGTGCAGTCTCAAAGAAGGACACCATAAATGAGTATGTTTGAAGGGGTAGTCGTTAAAATGCCTGACGGTTATGTACATTTAATGGAACTATTCTTGAAGTTCAAAACAGGGATTATCAATGAGAAAATTGAAAGTAATTAAATTGTGTTAGATTGCTATTTCCAATCATATTTTACATTTCCAATTAGCTTTCCGTTGTAATTCAGAGTGGTGGGGAAATTATTTTTTTAATTTGCACGCAGATCTCAAATTTTTGAGAAGAGATTAAAAGATAGTTTTAATTTCATCTTTTGCCAAACACTCTCAATATTTATGGAAGTTATGACTGCTGCTTAAAGCTGAATCCAGTATTATCAAAGAATAGAAGAATATGTTTAACAAAGAGGTACCTATAGTACTTGTTTTTCAACAAACTCCAGTCAGTTTTACCGCACAGAACAGATAGTCTAAGAGTCCATTTCCTAATCCTAAAGCCCCAGTGTAGCTGATAATCACCAGATGTTGTATTTTTACTAGGCTTCCTTTTACGGTAAAGAGATTTATCAACCTCTTAAATGTGTAATTCCCAGAATGAATACTGATTCTCCCTGACCATCATGTACCATAATGGTGTGATTTTTAATTAGCATTACAGAACAGAAGACTGCTTGCCATGGTGTTTGTAAGGCACTGCTGATCTCCAGACCAGTTTGCAGGCCAAGCCAATTTTATCTGATACAGCTGCTATAAACCCTGGCATTTCAGCTACCTAGTGATGCTATTACTGGTTTAATATTCCCTCTAATAACTTCAGTGAAAGTTTAATCAGGGCCTATATTGACTCTTAAAGAAAAAAGTGAGAGAGATGATTCTCCAGAAAACAGTCTCAAAAAATATCTTATACATGGAATATAAGGCAGACACCTGCATGATTTCTGTTTTGATTCTCTCGTCTTCATTAACCAGAAAAAAGAAGCAAACAACACTCCCCTAACAAAAAAAAAGCCAAGTATGGGAAAAATTATTTCCATTATCACAACAGAACCACATAAAAGTTTCAATGATATTATCTATGTCTCCACTATATGCCACTCTAAAATAAGGACCATTTAGAGAGAAATTTATAACTTACCTTATCAGAAGGTTTGAATGGATTTCCTTGCCCACTTATTCCACCACTGATACTAAAACCAAGGCCAGGATTCTTCTCTATTCTCACACAAAACTAGGTTAAAAAGAAATGGCAAGATAAGTCAATGCCAACATTAAAGCCTAACTAAACAATGGCGTCTTCTTCTCATATATCCCATTTCACCAATAACGAGATGAGTTGACCCTCTCAAAAGCTGTATTGAACAATACAATAAAAGTAGTAGAATATGGTTATAAACTGAAAGTATATTCATGATTTTAGCATGCTGCAATGATACCATAATATTCACAGTGCAGCATGTATTTTGCATATATATTAAAATTTTATTTTCAAGGAGGGAAAAAAACCCCACTCTTTAGACATGTGAGAGAGCAGTTCACCTTGGCCAAATTTTTCACTTAAACTTTGTGATAAAACTGTCAGTGAGGCTTCATCTTGTGCACTTTTATTTTTCCAGAAGGTGTCACACGTGCAGCATCCCCAGGTGCTATGCTCAGGACAAACCCAAGGAATAAGTACTCTGAAGCTCAGAGATCTTCAGACCATTGTCAGTACCAGGGCCACAGCCCTGATAGCCTGCACTGAACACCAACCACTTTTACAAGTGCCTTACTGCAGGAAACAGTGCTGAATCTTATCTTTTAGTCAGGATGACTCTAAATGGCATTGGGTAATTGAATATAAAATAAAAATGATTTCAGTGTAGCTTAATGACTGCTCATTGAGCCAGTCTGAGCATCTACTGTGAGCCACACAAGCAATTGCTTCTGAATCTCAATGCTATACTCGGGGACTTAATTCAGGCAGCTACTTGTGTGGGTCGTCCAACACTTTACACAAGAGAAAGGTTTATTAATGATTCTGAACCTTATTCTGCAAGTCAGGTGCCTCAAACAGTTACTGCAGTCATTAAGGCCAAATATAACGAGGATAGGACCACTTAATGAAGAAACTCATCAGCACCCATTTTGTTAGACTGGGGGCACTGGAGCTATAGCTGGCCTTTCACAGGGCTAAACTGGAGCAGCCGAAACAAACCTGAGAAAATCAGCATCATGTCAAAGATGCTGCACTGTTAGCACTGAACTAGGTTACTGGGGAATTGTCAGAAATTGCTAATTAATGCAGTATGACCCAGTGATGTCAGCTCTGTTCAGGAATTTCAATGCCAAATTGTGTTGCTTGGTCAATCCAAGAAAAAAATGGTATCAGTCCCTGGTGCTGGGGAAGAGGACAGACCTGCTCACCTGCCTCCAGCTCAACCATACCTCCCCCATGCTGTCTGGCTCAGCTGCCCTCTGTTATTGCCCTAGGCTCAAGGCAGAAAAAAACAGAAAGTTTTTGTTAAAGTGTTATTTTATAGACACACTTTCTCACCTGCTCCTGATATGCATCCGTACTTCTCTGACCCTTGGTTTGGATTAAACATCGCCCTGTCTGAGGTGCTCGAGAGCTCTGCGAAGAGGGAATCTGAATGGGGAGTGGTGGCTGAAACTGCTGAATGGTGACTTTATTCATGTTTCCTTCATATTGCTGCTCGCGGCTCCGATGCTGCAGGCTTTGTGATCCCATTAAAGTCTGGATATGGCTACCTGCCTGTGGGTAACGTAACCCGTTAGGCCAGAAATTCAGGAAGCTGAAAAGAAGCAATTATTACAACTTACAGAGTCAAGTAAAAGCAAACCTCTTAAATCATATCAGAGGTTTGCCTTTTGACCACAGCTGGAAACAACCGTGATTAAAAGCAGCAAGGATATGCCTACTGCATTTAGTGACCTTAGGAGGTTTAAGGTAAATTAGCCGTATACAGTAGGTTTTATAAACAGAAAATATTTTTTTCCTCATGTCATGATATATGCTTCTGCTCCAAATGTTTTGTGAACTGAAAACATTTAATAAATTGAAGTAGGGTGGATTATTCATCACAGCACACTCTGAAGATACTGGAATGTTGTTTTTTTTTTTTCTGAGGGTAGTTTGGAATAAGATTTGTAACCCAAATACAGCTATTGGCCAGTATTGTACACTGTGTACGGAAAGCATAATCAATTAAATCCTATTTATGCCTTGTCCTAGGAACCAATGTGGTTTTTACAAAATGTAACTAATCAAATTATCACGTGTCTATGACAATATCTACTGATTTGAAGCTTTAATATTTTGTAAATATAAGTGAAATAGTGCATTTACATTGAATTGGCCTTTTGATATTTTCAGAAAAAAAAGGATGACTGCTATCATTCTTCTATGCCATCCATCCCCATTGCCTTTCACGTTTGCAGGTGAGGTTTGCTTTCTGTATTCTGTTCTTGACATGGTAAAGTTGCATACTTGCTTACTCTTCAATATACAGTCTCTATTTAGGCACATGAATTACATAAACATTTGAGGCAAATCTTCGCAAAATAAATGCAGCTGAGATAATTTTATACTTTTCATATTTACAGGATTCAGACGTTGTTGCTTATAAATAATCACATGCAGCTTAGCAGTAAGGGAACAAGCAAAATTCATGCTCCATTGTATGATCAAATATTATTACCTCCACGAAATCCCACACCATTGCTACTGAGAGTTTTCAGATTATATGCACCCATCAACCAGTGCTATTATCTGAACAGCCCGAATATGAAAGAGCATTATGATTGCATGTTGCAATATCTACAAGTCTCTATGGGCAAAATAGACCTATTTAAACGACATTTCACATTAAATTTACACCAGCCAACAACACAATCACATCTCGTCATGAAGGTCTAATCCTCAGTACTACTGAACATTTATGATCCTGGTGGAAGAGTCACCAATTGTGATACTGTGTTTTAGACAAGATTAAATTTAATACAGCAAAAGATCAAAACATTTCTTACCCGTTGGCCAATCACCTGGCCTCGGAAGTTACAGCAGCCAGGACATTAGAAATAATTGCTTGTTGCCACAGCAAAAATACACCTTAACGGATTTCCAAGATTTGTCTGCACAACATATCATTAATACAGATGCAGTTGGAGCTACTCATGTCACTGAACACAGAATCCCAGCAAGACATGCAGTGACTGTGAGCAAAACTGATCTGCTCTGTCTTATTTTTTTGCTGACTACATTTGAAGAAAGACACTAGGTAGAATACATGTCTGACAGTTCTTCGTTTTAGTACAAGAGGGATAGTCTCAAGGTGAGTAATGACAGAGAAATCTCTTGCTCCTTGTGCCCAAATCTTCAGTCCCCAAACTCTTCTTAAAACACAGCTCACCTGTGTATGTAAAAGCACTTTCCAAGAATTCCAATAGCCTGGTGAAGTCAGTTTGTACTGTGAACATCCCACTTTACAGGTCAGAGAGATCTTTAATTCATCCAAGATCAGAAGGGAAAGAAACGCTCAAGACAGACTTTTTAGCTATTCATTAACTCCCTAGCAGCAACAAGCCATGCCTGCAGCGGATTGCTGAATCCGTGCCACCTTGCACTGCGGAGATGCAAGGTGAGCAGGTGACCATGTGCAGCACAGTTCTGTACTCCATGTCATGTCAGATACTCATCACAGGAGGATCCAAAAAAAGCAGAATATCATAAATTCTGCTATTTGCCCCAGATATAATCCCATAGCCACCACAGCAGTCCACACCAGGTGCGCTGTCTGCCTCAGAGGAAGATGTCTATTTCAAACACAAAAAAAAAATTGCGCTTCTTCACTGAAAAGCCTCAAATCTTTATCAGGTTAAAAGAAAGACCTCTGTATTGAAGAGCAGATGCTGGCAATGAAACAGAAAGAGCCTCCAACCTCTCAGTTGTGGCTAACGGAACTACTCCCAAGTCAGAAACGGAAAGAAATGGTGACTCAGACACTTTTGTACGTCCCAGTTCTGGGGCAGCTGCCTGCTCCAGTTCCATAGCATATGCTCCTTCCACATCCACCAAGACCATTACAGTCCACACAGGGATCTCCAAGAGTTTGCATGGCTTCAGCCGTCATGTGGGCTGCTGCAATCCTGCAGCAGAAGAGGCCAACTAACATAGTCCTACGCATTCCCAAATCTGTGTAGCTCATCCTCTTAGAGGGTCATCACCCTGCACCCAGGTTGCCTGATGTCTGTTCATTTTCCATCTTCATTCTCACTCTTCAACCTCTCTTTTTCATAAGGAGTGATTTCCAGGTTCCCTTTTGATGATGCCCTGCCACACTTCTACCCCTTCCCTTTTTATGGAGGAGCAGTTAACTCAGAATACAACTGATTTAATCAGTCATGTAGCTGACTTGTTGACATGTGTCCTGGGTTTGGCTGGGATAGAGTTAATTTTCTTCCTAGTAGCTGGTATAGTGCTGTTTTTTGGATTTAGGATGACAATAATGTTGGTAACACCCTGATGTTTTAGTTGTTGCTAAGTAGTGCTTACACTGGTCAGGGACTTTTCCGCTTCCCATGCTCTGCCAGGTGCCCAAGAGGCTGGGAGGGGGCACAGCCAGGACAGCTGACTCCGACTGGCCCCAGGGCTATTCCATGCCGTATGACATCACGCTCAGCTGTAAACTGGGGGGAGTTGGCTGGGGCGCAGTGATCACTGCTCAGGGACTGGCTGGGCATCGGTCAGCGGGTGGTGAGCAATTGCATTGTGCGTCACTTGTTTTGTGTATTCTTTTATTATTATTTTCTCTTCCTCTGCTGTCCTATTAAACTGTCTTTATCTCAACGCATGGGATTTACTTTTTTTTTTCCCCCCGATTCTCTCCCTCATCCCACCAGGGGGTGGGAGAGGGTGAGTGAGCAGCTGTGTGGTGCTTAGCTGCCGACTGGGGTTAAACCACAACAACATGACAGAAAAAGTCATCTTCCAGGAAGCATAAATACTGTAGTCTTTTAATAAATCAGTGGATTATTCAATTTGAAGATTAAAATACCCAAGTTTTCCATAAGAGAAATAGCCCATAAATTATGGAATGACCACATAAATGATCATACTTAAAATAAAATTAGCATTTAATCTGTATTCTGAACAGCAAAAAGGACAGAAACCACCACTCATACACCACATAATTATGTAGTGATTACTGTGTAGTATTCCCACCCTACCTAACATACATAAATAGCCATCACTACACGTATAGTAGCTCTCTATGTGTGGACAATTTAGGAACACATATTACTGTGTCCATATATGTACTACATCGGCCTGAGTACACAGTCCATCCATCTATAATACA